ATTCCGTCCAATCATTCAGAGAGATTCCAAGTCAAGTAAATACATTCCAACAGAAAGCATTTAAATTCAGTTCAGTATTCACATTGGTTAATTGTGGTTAATTGATTTGCATCTGATTCAGAATGTGTTTAAAGAGAATGGACCTCCATAGTACTTGAATACACTCCAACTACAGGTTAATCTGGTGAAAGCCAAACGCATTGGCAAAGACTCCTGAATAGGTGTCAGAACATCCCCAGAAAAACTAAGCAAAAGGCTGATGGTCTTCTAATTTAAGCCTGTTTTGTGGTTACAATGACCCGGAGGGCTGAAAATGTACACATGTATTAATTAAAAGACGCTGTTATTCTTTAATAATTTTATTCCAAAAAGTTTAAAAAAACAAACCTATTGACTTTGTTTCCAAGTTTGCAGACGTTTTGCTTCCCATCCAGGAAGCTTTCCTCAATTCAGAATGTCAGGAATAGCGAGTTCGAGGTTTTATATTTATATTTAGATAATTAAATTTTATGAGTAAACATGTTAAGCAATCTAGATCTTCATTTTAGTCAAAATAATTATGATGATTATTATACCCTTTTTTGCTTTATCGAGCAGCCCGACCAAATGGGGCTTTGGAGGACACAATACACAAGCGATAACATCTTAAAGATTGTTTCTGCTAAGAGAAAAGCACTGACTAGTATATAAGACCTAAGACATCATTTAACTGTAGAAGATGACCAAGAGCACTTACAGTTATATTTAGGGGAGAGACTGGGGTAAGCATTGATAGACAGCAGCCATGTTTGTCATCTGTTGAAGAACAAGAAGTTTACAGTAGTAGCTAGGCCGATTCCTCCCACCAGAATGTTGTCAGCTTAACAATGCCAGGCCAGATTTAACTTCTGAAAAGTGAATAAAAAAGAGAGAGAACACAAAGTTAAATGTTTTTATCTTTATTATCTTGTGTAGTTGGATGTGTGTATATATATAAAACTGTAACTGGAGCGTGTAACAAAAGTAATTTCCCTCTGGGATTGATTAAAGTATTTCTGACTCTGATTCTGAAAACATTTACATTTGGAGAGTAATCAAGTTTTTGGAGAATGCAGCCGACTGAGGGAAAGTATTTTCCATGTCCTCCAGTAATCTAAGCCTATAGCATCATAACTACAGAGACATCCCTAGTTATAACCTTTATCAAAAAATAAAATTTTAAGCCCTGCCCTGAAATTATGCAAAAATAAATAAAATTATGCAAAAATAATAAATAAAAAATAAATCTAAAAACTGAAAGACCTGACTTCCTTTCTAATTTAGAAAACCAGCAGTCTGGGAGCAAAGTGGTCTTTTAGAAACATATCGAACAATCAAATCTCTGATGTTTAATTACGCTTTATTAAAAGCTGTAAATGCAGTTCTGAATTAGATGGTAAGCCAATTAAGGAAAGCTGAAGTAGGCAAATATAATTTCTCTTTTAAATCAGAACTCTTAATGGATACTTAGGGATAAGCTGTACTGTTTGTAACCAATTGAAAGATTCAACTGCTTTAGCCATGTTTCAACACATGTGGGACACTCAGAAATGCCAAATTGTTAGCAGTAACATAAAGGTGGTACCCTTAACACTCAATTTATGCAGTTTATCTACAAAAAAAGTACATTCAGGTTTAGTTCCACTTTAAAAGCTCCTGACTATAGTTTTACCTTTTAATTTTTTTATTTTTTTATTTTTTTTTACAAAGCTTTATGCTTTTATCTTTTGTATTTAATTGCATTCTATTTATGTACTATTAGGTCTCCTGAGAATGCCTGGTGCAAAAATTAGTTTTTTCGCACAAACTAAGGGGCCACAGGGCAACAAGATGACAGAAAAACATGCTTCTGTTGCACAAGCTGTTTTTGGACTTGTGCGCATGCTGAGCACTGAGGTTGTGTCCTGCTGAGTAAAAAGCAGATATATCATTTCTGTTTCAGTCGTGATGGTTGCTTAGTTGTCTGTTGCAGTTGGTGACTCATACAGAAGCTGGTAGTCTATTTGAATCCTGTTTATCATTGTCTCCATATTTTTTATAAATTGAGATTTTAAATGAGAGACACAGTTTTGCATCTACTTTGTTAAAATATTTTCAAGCTGGTATTATGCACTTGCTATTTTATATTTGCAGGTATTGTTGACTTTCATGGAAACATTGACCCTCACCTACTTATTGACCAAAAAAATATTATGCTCAAATTAAGCACAGGTAGTCTTTGTGGAGCAGTACTCTGTAGAAAACACAGAGGATCTATTATGTGTCCTGCTTACTAAAAGCAGCATCTCTCTTTAGAAGTTATTTCCCCGTCATGCATATATCAATCAAATCTCACTGTGTATGTAGCAGAGAAATGCTGCAGCAGCAGTCAGAGCTTTAAACTTCTACAGACAGAGTTGGCGTGCCAAAAGAGTTCCCAAGGATAGAAATGGGTTTATAAGATTCCCTTTCTCTGTTCTGCTTCACCGCCTGTGTTGGCTCAAAGACACTTAATGGTGTTGTTTGTGTGGGTGGGAGTTTCCCACTATGTGAATCCACAACCGGTTACATGAAATGTAAAACTTTATGAATTACCTGGAATTCTGCACTCAAATGGAATCTATGTTATAATAAAGTCCCTAAATATCACACTTCTTAGTTGTTTTTATTATCAACAAAGTGCTTTATTATTTCATGGAATGAAGATGAAAGGTTGTTTCCTTATAGTTTTTACAAGTTA